AACTCCTCATCCTGATTCTACAGCTCTACCGTACATTTACCCCATTCATCATAAATCATCGCTCTTTCAAGATAGTGTTAAATCTCATCATGGTCGCATACCTTGCCGTGCCCGGCTGTCACACCACGACCTTGCAGCAAGGCGGAATCCCTCACTCGCCGGATGGTAGCGGTTGAGTTGGCGGGAGTCTTGGGGATGAGCTCGACCCCGTCGATGGCCAGCACACTGAGCACATGGGCTGCTGCCTTTGCATTGATGGTAATGGTCTCCGGAACAGGGTTCGTAATGTTGTCACAAGCCTGGTGGTAGCAAGCATCCTGCTCGGTGCCCGTTCCCGTGAACAAACCACCAACAGGCTTGTGGATGACGTCCACGAATGGGACGTAGTCGGTGCCGCCAGTGAGACCAACGTCAGTCACCTCGAGACCTTTGCCAGTGAAGTGCTCGACGAAGAGATCTGTAACGACCTCTGATCCCGCCGGTCCACCGGGGGCAGCCTTGTCACCGGATCCATCGAATACGCCATAGAATCCACGAGAGACCATGTCGAAGTTGAGATACACCAGGAGGTTGTCTACCTCCGTGGTGTTCAGGTTGTTCACGTAGTACCTTGATCCCCAGAGACCATTCTCCTCAGCGCCCCACCAGCTGAAGCGAACCTTGAGATTTGTAGAGAAGCTGGCCAGGCCCTTGGCAACCTCAAGGATCAGGGAGGTTCCTGAGCCGTCATCGTTGATTCCTGGACCGGCAACAACCGAGTCCAAATGAGCTCCCAGTTGCACGAAGTTGGTTCCGTCTCCAAACTTGGTCTCGGCGAAAACGTTCTGCGTGATTCGCTCCTCAATAAGCTGCACAATAACAGCCAGAGCTTCCACGGATTCCCCAGCAGCCAGACGCGCCTTGAGGGCCAGTCCTTCCTCCTGGTCAATCAGAGCAGCAGGGACATACTCCGCTGATGGATTTGAGAGTGATCCGGCCGTGAGCTTGGCGGGGCCATTGTTGTATAGAATAACAGCGGCTGCACCGGCGGCTGCGGCGGGCTTGACTTTGCCGGCAAAAGTTGTTCCATCGTCGCAAAGTCCACGCTCAACCAGGACGATCTTATCCTTGGCGTCGATCCCCTCGTATTTCTCAACGAAGCAGGCATCTGTACCTTCGGGAGCATGGACCAACTGCCTTGTAAAACCCTCCTCTGGTGTGCTCGGAGTGTAAGTGAGGGCTACGGTTCGGTAGGTCTCGCCGTCGACTGTGACGGATTGAGCCGTTGTGTTTGTGAATAGGGCAGGAAAGTCCTGGATCCAGGAATTGAAACCCTTGAGCTTGGACACCTCGCCGTAAATGAAATCGACTGAGGCCTCGTAGCCGGGGCGGCCAAAAGCACGGTTTCCACCATTAGCATAGGCAATTTCGTTCAACTTCTCCAGATTGGCCATCAGTCTAGTAAGCACAAACAGTTAGCTTTTCAATTGGCTTCTTCGGGGGAGGCAGGGGCAAGATCCTCGGCAGAATGGGCCATACCCTTCCTCTGTGATGAGCTCTTGGAGCTTCTCGGACTCCACGGGAGGCCTGCAATCCTTCGCTACGACGAGCGGTAGAAGAGAGGCGCAAAGCGCCGGGGCAGTATGGAACTTCATTGCTCTCGGCTTGAGCTATCAGCTATGGTGAGAGATGGCTGGAAGGGGTCCAAGACATGGCCAGGCAGACGACTCGGGGAGGGTGCCCTCGATATTTATCCCACCGACAGTTTCTACCTCCCTGGCCACTTGGATTTTCTCTCGCCACATTTTCGCGAGGCCTCTCCACCGAATTGATTGGCGATCCATCACGCAAGCAGGAATTCACCCCAGAACCAGCCTCACTCCGGGACGGTCGCTTGGGACCTGCGGAAAACAATCTAGTGCTACCTTGTACGTGATAAGCTACCCCGGCCTCACACTAAAACCCCTGCCGCCCAGGAGAAGAGCCAAAGAGCCGGTGTGGGGATCGACATGGGGTGGGTGGGAGCAGGACGAGGTAAACTCCAAGGTCCAGCCAATTGGGACATCACAATTCCCTCGAATCGGGGGGGAACCACAGAACTTTTGATTCCGGCTGTAAGCATATTCCTAGCCCCATCGCACCTCTTTCCTCGCCTGCCAAAAACGTTTGGCACGCCAGAAGGTTCCAATAGAAACGCAAGGCAGCCTAATGCGACCCCAGTAGTTCCGGACAGCTCCAGCAGCAATGTTATCAATGGAGAAGGAGGACGAGCAATTAGGATCGTGGACATGGCATGATTACGGGACTTCGATCGCTGAGGTATCATTGCGAGTGTATCCCCAAGAGTTCCAAGAGAACGGAGCGACCCTGCCTTGCACCCGCACTTCTACCATCGTGTCTCAGCCAACCGGTGGTCGGATGAGACATGGTTGCCCTAGCCCTCTAGAAATGACGAATACTCAGGTGAGTAGCTTGGAGTGAAATTTAAGCTGATGGCATGATGAAGCTAGAGCACAATGTCGAAATGCCTTGAAAACCTTGGGGCATTCAGGTAAGCAAGCATACGGGCATTTGTCTCGGATGAGTAATGAGCGTATTTCCTAATCATTTTTTTACATGCTCACGATCCCAGGGTACTGTATCCATAAAGTACGTCCAGATTCACTTCGCCACAAGTGTTGATCAGTGGTGGTGGCCGGATGGTGATTGTTCCCCGCTCGCTTGGCATATGCCAGTCGTATTCATCGCTTGAAAGGCTAGTCACGGGGCAAAAGCCAAGAAACCAAGCCACCAGGATTCATGCCTCCTCGTCCGTATTGGCGATGAGCCCTTCGGCAAGAAGAATGGGGAGGACAGGTAAACCGCGGTCTGGTTAATTCGAGCTGGCAAGTTGCCAATCTCTGTGGAACAAAGACCATCAGGATCTCAGCCTACCTAAGCCTCGCCGACACCATCTTCAAGACGGGTACCTGCTTCTAGATGAAATGAGATGCCGCTATGCTGAATCTGTCCCAGAAATTCTATTTTCGCTTGGACTCAAAATGTCATATAATTAAGAGCAAGTGATCTAGCGTACAACTCCCGACAGAACTATACTCTTTGCGCAAGCCTCTTTATCCGTGGTACCAAATTCCCGTTCATATATTCATTAACATAACCCATCTATACTAGTATATTTCTAATCATAAAGCCAAACCTGTGCTGTCTCTCAACCTCGTCACGACCATACCCTCACCCACGCCGTCCGTGATACCTCGCGTGACCTCCTTGACTATCCAGGCAACAACACTAGATAAGCCCTGCCCGACCTTCCCATCGTTCACTTTGACGGCGGCGTCCACAAGATGGGTGGCCTGTCTCCTGAAAGCACCAGCCAGGTTGATGCCTTGTTCAAACACCGCCTCGGATACTTTGAATTTTCTCTCGAAAGTGACGACAGTCCTGAAGAGCAGAATAAGGTAAGGGAGGAGGAAGTGCAAGAACAGAATGAGCTGGACGACGACCAGCTGGACGGAGCGGTGGAGCACGGACCGCGGGAGACCAGATGCGGTCGGAGTAGACATCGGCCGCGGATGAGCGGCATGCTCAGTAGTTAGGAGAGAGAGGTTCGTCGGCAGCGCTGCCTTGACTTGCTCGAGCTCCCTATCGTCCAGATTCGGCGGCAATGCTCGGATCAGGTACGTCACCCCGTCGAGAAAAGCTTTCCTCTCAAAGGTGTCGTTGACTCCTTCGGCAGCTGCCTCGGATGCTCCCTGGATGAGGCTTGATCCTATATACGAGTGAGAAAATTATTCCAAAACAGATGAAGGGGATATACCGGCATAGGCCACTCAACGAGAAAGCTTACCTTGGCTGGCAAATCTCCAGTTGATCCCGGGCCCCGTCGCCATCTGCCCACCAGTAAGGACATTTCTAATCTTGGAAGCCTTGAGCGTCGACGCAGCAGCCGACGCAGCATGCTCAGCCTGCAACAACCCAGCATCCATCTCCGGCAGCGCGGGCGACGATGCCGTCGTGAGCCCGCCCGGCCCGGCCACAGAAAGGGGACGAGGCAGCTGGGGGGTGTGCGAGGCCAGCAGCTCCTCGCCGTCTTTGATCTTGGACGTTGCCAGATCCTCCATGCTGGCCGTCCGGCCGAAGGGGCGGAATGGAGCCATCCTCGACTTGAGCGACATGGGGAGGAGAGAGATGACGGTCGAGATCCTGCTCTCGGTCGTGCGCTCCCACTTGACCTCCTCATACATCGGGACGAACGCTGACACGGACATCATGGGCTTATTAATATTCCCGCTCGCGTGACGGCTCGAGAGCTGAGTCGGTTGAGCAGCAGGCAGCCCAACGTGCAGTCGGTGATACCAATGGGGGGTTATCGGACCAGGTTCTGCAATGGCGGTCTCCTTTATCGGACTCCTATCTCTCGCACTCGCTCTCTCTGCTCGCCTGACCAGTCGAATCGGGGACAAACACCGCTCTCAGCAAGCCATTGCAGGTGGCTGTCGGGGTAGACGGCAATCTATTGCTGTGTCGGATGACGATCTGTTTCGTTTGTTTTCGTAAATGGTCCGAAGAGGGTTCCGAGAAGCATGAAAAATATGTCATCCGCCATTATCTGTGCTTGGCTGCTGGGGTCTGGTCCTATCGCTGACATGTGATAATCCACTTGGGCGGCGTTTCATGTGAACCCGCCACTTGGACCAACAAAAACGCAACGTGCCTCGCGGTCGATTAGATTAGCTCTAGTCACCCGGATCAATCCGATGTGGTTGGTATTTTGAGTTCAACAATTCTTTACCAGCCACGTGCATAACCGGGGAGAATAATAGTAGTGGGATAAAAAAACTCCGAAGGCATGCAATTTCGCTATGAACTTTAAACCATCAACCTTAACCAACGCCAATTCTCTTTGTACAAACAGTAAATCCAATTAACCCTAAGACGACTGAAGGCGGACAGTATATCCCCTTGCCAATGCCGTGAAACCTATATTACTCCTCTTCCCATTGAATCCATGTAAAAGCTCATTAGATCATATCTTTGCTCATCTCGTAAGACCACCCGCCTTCACGTCGGAGCTTGTCACGAGCAGCCAGATCCTTTCGGATGTCCTCCTCAGTGAGACGATCCACGCCGCTCCAGTTGGCACTGGAAGTTCGAGCACGGAACTTGTGGAACTTGTCCTTGCTCTTGTGGAAGACCTCCTCCATGTTGAGAGGCGCTGGTGGTCCGAAGATTTGCGACGGATCCATCGTCTCTTGACGCATGAGCGCCCTACGCAGGTCTGGAGAGTCGGCCCATGCTGCTACCATACCTCCAGCTTCATTCTCGCTATCGCTTTCGTCATCCGTCTGGATCTCAGGCAACTCAATTGTCTCTCCATTCTGGAAGCGTGGCGAGGATCTCTGTGCTGATTTAGGAACCGACTTGCCGCCCACTGGCCTGGCTGGTGTCTTGTGAGAACCAGCAGGGTTAGGGTTAGGTGCAAAGGGAATGGCTCCCTTGGAGATCTGGGCCATGTCCAATGGGTGAGCTGCCTTTTGTGCGCTATTGTGCTGCGCAGTAACAGTTGCCTTGAACAGATCCCGAGTAACACTGCCCTGCGTACTTGTATAACCACTTTGGAACACAGATTTTTTGGCGGGCTCCTACCTCGAAATTAGTAAACTGGAATAACCAAATTTGTGAATATATAAGAGAAATTGTCTCGCTTACCTTCTTGAAACCAGCAGACGGCCGCACGGGGGGTCCCTTCATATTTGGCTGGTCGTCTGATCCGAGTTCATCATGGTCTTGGCTGGTTCTACGCCGCTTAGCATCCTTGGCCTGGTATGATAGGCCAGCTCTTGATTGCGGCCGTGGGGGTTGTGCCTCATCATGTCCCATTGGCCGCTTCAAACCAGCTTTGGAAGCATTTGATAGCACAGCATTAACAGGGCGGCCTGACTCTTCGTAGTTGCGATAGATGCCCGAATTCATCCGTGAAGGTGGTCGAGCCGGTCCATCAGCCTTTCTTTCTTGGGACAGGGAGCTAAAGTCCGGAGGCCCATTAGGCTGCGACCTCACTGCCGGCGGTGGCGCTCTCGTCTGCTTTGCTTTCTCAATCATAGCCTGCCTTTGTGCATTTTGCCTCGACTCAGCTTGAGATGCTGCCTGCTCACGGTCCTTCTGTCGTTGACGCTCTGCTTCTTGGCGTGCTTCCTGGCGGCGTTGCTCTTGCTTCCGTTGCTCCTCCTGAGCAGCAACGCGCTTTCGCTCTGCCTCGGCCTTGGCTTCTCGCTTACGCTGAGCATCTCGTTCCTCCTGTTCCTTCCTCTTCGCCGCAAGCTCTGCTGCCTTCGGCTTGCTGGCAGAGGCAGGCGCCCTCACATTTTGAGTTGAGGGCTTGGACTGAACAGGAGCTTTGCTGGCCTTGGACAAAGAAGCCTGCTGCGTCTGGGACACTGAAGATAGCATGGTTTCGTTTCCGGTAGCAGAGTTACCAGCTGTTGACGGATGAAACTGTGAGTTCTGAGAACCAGTATTGACCCTGATAACAGTTGGAGCCTGTTTGACCTTGGTTGGTGCTGTGGGTTTGATGGGTCGTTTGGCCTCTCTAGCTCGGGAAGCCTGGGAAGCAGGTCGAGGAGCTGGGGTCTGTGCATCAGCCATTTCGACATCCTGGTCAGCGACACTAGCAGGTTCTTCTTGATGCTCCTTGGCTTTGCGAGGGCTAGTTCTTGTTGGTCGAGCAGGTTCTGCGGTCTTCTCTCCCTTTTGGCCAGAAACCTGTCGCTCCATGTTGGCAATTTTCTCCTGTTCCTTGCTGAAGACGCGGGCCTTCTCGCGCTCTTTTGCTCGGGCTTTTTCGAGCTTATCAATCTGATCTTCCATAACCTTGGTTTCTTTTTCCCGACGCTTCTCCTCCTTCTCCTTCTCTGTAGAAGCCCTAGTCCGTCTCGGGGCAGGCCCAGCCGTGGCGGCCTCCTTCTGAGCCGGTTGAGGATCAGCTGATTTAAGAGTCTCATTGCTAGGCTTTCGGAGGGAGGCTTGGGAGGGAGTCAAGTGCAATGCAAGCCGAGACCGTGTAGGTGATAACAGAGCGCTTTTTCCTTCGGCGCTGGCCGCTGCGCTACTAGCGAGAATACGGCTCGAGTTCTTCAAGATGGATGAGAGCTTGTCCTTGACCTGCTTCAAAGGGCTGCCCCTAAAACCCCTTGAAGGTGACTGGGAAGGGGATGGCGAGGTAACACGCATGGATTTCGACATTGAGGGGGCCTTCATCAATGGAATGGTCTGTTCGTGCAACTGCTGTGATATGTTAGGCACAGATGCTGACTTGGCGTGACCAGGGGTGCCTGCGGTTTTTGCAGGTGAAACTTGTTGAAGATCCCTGGAAGCGCCTTGGACATTAATGCCCTCCATTACATCGGCAGTGTGACTCTTCAACAACTCAGGTCTAGTGAGAGTTTCAGTCACGGGAGCCGGAGCCGGAGCTGGAGAGGGTGGATCAATCCAGTCATCATCATCCTCAGGAAAGGCGCCTGGGGTCGACTTGGTAGGAGATATATGCTTAGGAGAAGGCGAGCGGGGGGGCTCCGATGACTGAGTCGTCACCGGAGCTGCAAGGTTGGGGATCGATTTGGATGGTCGGCTACCGCCAGTTGTCTTGCCCAGCTTGCTAATCTGATCCTGCAGTCGCTGGGTATATGTCCGGTTGTGATTTAACACTGGATTGGCCTTCTCTTCAACAGGCTGAGCTCCTTGCTTGTCGATATCCATATCATTGTGGTGTTCCTCGTCTTGCAACTCTCGCCAAGCCTGACCTCCGAGGCTCTTCTCTCCAGCAGACCTGTTGTAATAACTCATCCTATTGTCATCGAGGTGGCTTACTCGAGAAGCACGATGGCCTGTAGTCTTTCCAGCTGCGAGAGGCTCCCGGGCAGGAAGAGGTGCGAAATTGAGACTGCTTTTCCGGACCATCGGGCGAATGGGGCTGGAGCCATCTGAAACCGAGCGGGCTCCATCGGTAGGATCAACGCCCTCCATATCGTCTTCAAGGGAAGCAACTACACCATCCTGCGCGGGTTCCAAGTTGGCTTTCTGGGATGCCTCCACGATCGGACTGCTCATGGCAATATCGTCGCCATCTTCATCAGTCTCACCATGAACCTCGGGTTCTTGGGCGATAACTTCCTCCGAAGCAGCGTGTTCGTCTTCAGCTTGCGACACTTTCTTGGGCGATGAATGCTGAGCTGTGGGAGCCGGACTAACTTCCGGTGACGCGACAGTTGTCGTCTCGTGGATCACATCCGCCATTTGGTTTGACGGGAAACTCTCGCGCAGGGAGGCGGCTTGGTCGGCAAGCTCTTGACTGCCGTAATAGCCAGAGTCCTGGCTTTCTGGGCCCATTCGGATGGGCTTGGGGGACATGACAGCATGAGCTCGGCTGACGCTCTTCGCTGGACTGGGCGATTCCCTGACAGGTGAGGCCGGGCGCTTGGGGGACTGGGCGAGGCTGAGTTGCTGCGTGAAGCGATTCGTCGCGCCGTTAGGTGTAGACGCAAACACGTTCGACAAGGGCTACAGATAGTGAGCATTCGAGATTCCTGCTGCTGCTGAATTGCAAACTTACCACCCTGGCTTCTAGGGGGTTCACCTTCCGAGCTGTATAGGGGGTCTTTCCTCGTAGTTTCCCGGGAGTTTTGAAGGTTTCTGCGATGTTTCTATTTGAATGTTAGCTGCTACCATTTGATGATAGAACTACCCAAGCGCCACTAACATTTCATTTTCGTTGAAGATTCCAGCCATATGCTCGTTCAACCAGTCGTACTCGTTTCGCACAGAGTATGAGAACTCTTCGACTTCGGACTGTGCAATGTTGAGGGCACAGGAGCGTTCTTCCGCAACCCAAGGGCCGGAGCCGACTTGGAGACGCGGTCCTCGCATGGCCATGGCGGCGTCTGTTGATGTTTACCGGGGAAGAAATCCCAATGACCGATATCCAAGGGTGGATGTTTGAGTGTGTTAGCTTCGGCAATGCATCCGAATTATCTGGACGTGAAATTGTTGTTGTATGGCTTTGGTCAGAGAAAGCGTTGGTAGCATTTAGATGGGATCAAAGAACGAACGCGGGAGCCGGTTCGCATGCTGGACTGATTGTTTTGATGGGGTCCAAATCGGGTTAGTGTCCCAGCCTTGGTTATGCCCCGGCCGTTCAGCCCGCGTCGCGGATTGTGGGGCAGTCGAGAGCGTTTTAATGTATGGGCACGTGATGATAAGCACTATCAGATAGTAAACATCCCGCTTGTTTACGTACTGGATGGAGGAGTAAAGTAGCGGCGCGTCCATGTGGTGGGCTAGAGCGCAACCCAGAAGTCGCATCCCCATCGACTCAAGCTGCTGTGGTGCCAAAATTCAGCATCGCAAACATGAGAATAACAGAGATAGTTATCGACGTGGGTCTCAGCAGTCTACCTTCAAATGCGGGCTTGACTAATCCAGACCAATAGGGCTTCAAGTCGTATGCCCAACGCACAACGATATCGGGATGGTGAGTACATACACCGCACCCTCGGGAGAACGATATGTGAACTCACACCTGTCAGGGATGAGAGCTTCAACGCGGTCACTGGCCTTAATGGCAGTGGAAAGTCGAATATTCTTGACGCGATATGCTTCGTCCTCGGCATTACGAGCATGTCAACGGTTCGAGCTCAAAACATACAGGTAAGTGTCCATCTGTCCAAGTCACCATACGTTTCGATGCAACCGAGAGATTAACGAGGGAATTTTCCAGGACCTCATTTACAAACGCGGACAGGCAGGAGTTAATAAAGCCAGTGTCACAATCACATTCAACAACGATGACAAGAAAAAGTCACCCATCGGTTTCGAGTCGCAACCTGTCATCAGTGTCACGAGGCAAATCGCTCTTGGAGGACAATCAAAGTATCTCATCAATGGCCACAGAGCCCAACAACAGACGGTGCAAAACCTGTTTCAGTCTGTGCAGCTCAACATCAACAATCCCAATTTTGTCATCATGCAAGGCAAAATTACCAAGGTTCTCAACATGAAGGCCGCCGAGATTCTTGCCATGATTGAGGAGGCAGCCGGCACTCGAATGTTCGAAGACCGCAGAGACAAGGCGATCAAGACCATGGCGAAGAAGGAATTGAAGCTGCAAGAACTCCGAGAGTTGTTGAAAGATGAAATCGAGCCTAAGCTGGAAAAGTTACGAACAGAAAAAAGAGCTTTCTTGGACTTCCAGCAGACTCAAAATGACCTCGAGAGACTGACCAGAATCGTTGTAGCATACGACTATTCTCGTTGTCAAGAAAAGGCGAAGCAATCAGCCGCTGACCTGGAAGACAAGAAGAGGCGGCAGAAGGAGCTCGAGGAGAGTGCCGTCAGGATGAAGAATGAGATAGCTCATCTCGAGGAAGACATCAAAAGGATGCGAACGGAGCGCGACAAGGAGTTGAAGAAGGGTGGAAAGGCCCAATCACTCGAGGAAGCCGCCAAGAAACATTCGAATGAGCTTGTTCGCCTCACAACGGTCATGGATTTGAAAAAGTCAAGTCTGGCAGAGGAAGAAGAAAAGAAGACCAATGGTGAAAAGAATGTATCAGAATTAGAGGCCTCACTTCAAGAGAAGACAAAGGCCTTCGAGCTTGTGAAAGTCAAATATGATGCTGCGAAGGAGGAAGTCTCAAAACAGTCGAAAGAAGCCGATTCAAAGGAGGAGCTTCTACAGACCCTTCAAACAGGCGTGGCATCAAAGGATGGACAGGAGATGGGCTACCAGGGCCAGCTCCAAGATGCCAAGAACCGTGCAACAACTGCCGCGACAGAACAGGAGCAAGCGAAGATCAAAATATCGCACCTGCAGAGCCGTGTCAAGGAGGAGGAGCCCCGTGCTCAAAAGGCCAAGGAGCAAAACAAAGGTCTTCTTCAAGAGCTGGATAGTCTGAAAATCCACGCTCAGAAGCTAGAAAAAGAGCTCGCCAGACTTGGTTTTGAACCTGGCCAAGAAGATGAAATGTACAAGCAAGAGTCGTCGTTGCATCAGACCATTCGCAGACTGCGCCAAGAGTCGGATAAGCTCAAAGGCCAGGTAGCCAACATCGACTTCAACTACGCTGATCCAGTACCCAATTTCGACCGATCCAAGGTCAAGGGCTTGGTTGCTCAGCTCTTCACTCTCGATGAGAAGCACACCAAGGCTGGTACAGCATTGGATATCTGTGCGGGCGGTCGTTTGTACAATGTCGTGGTCGATACCGAAGTCACCGGCACCCAGCTTCTGCAAAAAGGAAAACTACGAAAGCGAGTGACCATCATCCCGCTCAACAAAATCGCAACATTCAAAGCATCAGCGCAAACCATTGCTACGGCGCAAAGTATTGCGCCTGGTAAAGTTGATCTTGCCCTTTCACTCGTGGGATACGACGATGAGGTTTCAGCAGCTATGGAGTATGTCTTTGGGAATACCCTTATCTGTGAAGATGCGGAGACTGCAAAGAGGGTTACGTTCGATCCGAATGTGCGAATGAGAAGCATCACGCTTGAAGGTGACTCCTACGATCCGTCTGGCATGCTGTCGGGTGGAAGTAAATCACCCTCCAGCGGGGTCCTGGTTACTCTACAGAAGCTCAATGCCTTGAACCGCGAACTTGTTGAGGCCGAACAAAGCCTAAAGCAACTTCAGAGCAAGCTTGCCAAGGAGAAGTCCAAGCTCGCTCAGGCTCGTCAGATCAAGCAAGACCTTGACCTCAAGATCCACGAAATCAAGCTTGCCGAGGAGCAAATCAGTGGCAACTCTTCGTCCTCCATCATTCAAGATGTTGAGAACATGAAAGCAAAGATTACTGATTTAAAGGAGAAGATCACCGAAGCAAAGTCTCGTCAGCAAGAAGCCAGCGCGGATGTCAAGAGGATAGAGAAAGATATGAATGACTTCGACAACAACAAAGATGGCAAACTGGTGGAGCTGCAACAATCCATTGATAAACTGCGAGCCGGTGTAGAGAAAAACTCAAAGGCGCTCAAGGTGCTTCAGAAAGAAGTACAAGGCGCCCAGCTGGATCTTGAGCAAGTCGGCGCCGATCTGTCAGCTGCCCGCGAGTTGCTACAGGAGGTAGAGGTCAACATCAAAGCTCAACAGCAAGACATTGAGAACCTAGTCAAGCAACAGGCCGAAGTATCAGAAACGCATGATGCTGTCCAGGCCGAGTTGGACGCAGAACGAGCCAAATTGCACTTCTTTAACCACGAGCTCCAGGCACTAGAGGAAGCCACCCGATCAAAGAATGCCCGAATCACCGAGGAAGGCTTGGAGAAGCAAAAGCTTGGTCATCAAATAGACCGATTCCACAAGGAGCAGCACGGTGCTTCAGAGAATGTAGCTCGGCTGGAGGCAGAGCACGAGTGGATTCAGGACGAAAAGGACAAGTTCGGCCGAAGCGGTACACCCTACGACTACAATGGCCAGAACATCGGGGAGTGCAAGGCAATGGAACGCAACCTCAGGGAACGCTTCCAGGGCATGAGGAAGAAGATCAATCCCAAGGTCATGAATATGATCGATAGTGTCGAGAAGAAGGAGGTTTCTCTGAAGCACATGATCAAGACCGTCATACGAGACAAGAGGAAGATCGAGGAGACAATCGTCAGTCTGGATGACTACAAAAAAAAGGCCCTCCGCGAAACCTGGGAGAAGGTCAACAAGGACTTTGGGCAAATCTTCTCCGAGCTCCTGCCAGGGGGCAGCTTCGCCAAGCTTGATCCTCCAGAGGGCAAGGACATCAGCGACGGGCTGGAGGTCAAGGTCTGCCTGGGTAAAGTATGGAAACAGAGCTTGACGGAGCTCAGCGGTGGACAACGGTTCGTGCTTACCCCCCCGGATGACAGGTACCCCAGACACGGGATAAGTAGGCTAACTTATTACAGGTCCCTGGTTGCATTGTCTCTGATCATGGCGTTGCTGCAATTCAAGCCGGCTCCCATGTACATCCTGGACGAGGTCGACGCCGCCCTGGATCTTTCTCACACACAAAACATTGGTCGTCTGATCAAGACCCGGTTCAAGGGCTCGCAGTTCATCGTTGTCAGTCTCAAGGACGGCATGTTTCAGAATGCCAACCGCATCTTCCGTACGCGGTTTAGTGACGGAACAAGCGTGGTTCAGGCGCTGACGCCGGCGGATATGAGGTGAGAAGCGCGCATTTATGAATGCCCGGGCGGGTGTAGAGGACAATGGCGCCAGTGATGAGCGATCATGAGATATGAAATGCTTTTTTCTTTGGGTGGGTTGCGACGGGGTTGGTCGGCGGGCGGGTATGATTGCAATGACGGCGTGAGGAACACAATAGGATTTTTAATTTAATCTTGCACATGTCATATTTATTGCTCCTACCAGGTGATTCAATTCCAACTGCAATAGCGAATAGACATGTCAATAAAGATTCATTGAAAAATATTTGGTAAGGGGATGGACGTCATCGTCTTTGGCCAACGATGACCAGTTCACATATCGGGTTTAGGGTAGGCCCATGTGACGGAGATACCCAGGCAAGTGGGTGAAATAAAACATGGCACACCAAAGCTCTTTCCGTATGAGACAGGGACATCATTTTTTAACTCAGCACAATAAGAAGAAAATAATAAGAGGATAATCAACTATTCTATAATATTTAGCTTGATATTGTATTCCGTACTGGGTTATTTATTGTGATATTGTATTGAAATTCAATGCTGAACTATCTCGATGTGCCATGTTTTATTTCACCCACTTGCCAGGTATGCACAAATGAGTGAACGGATGGGTCTTCGATGGGACAAGATGCCAGGAACCAGGGTGGCCTGAAAGGGCATCAATGTCAAATTGGATGAAATGGGTGACAGCTCACCTGCACCTGGAGAAAAAGCAAATCCCATCCGTCCCCACCCATCTACCGTTTCACCAGCGACTTGACTGGCCGGGCATCTCGATGAAACTGGGTGTCTTATTAGATGGCCCTGGGCTAGGGCTCCTGTGGCTTCCTCTTATCGTGGTTGACCTTACTGCTTCCATCCCATCCAGATCGACCATCGCTGTGCCGGCCCCGTGGAATTTGGTTGGTTTGGGAAATACACCCGACACTACTCCAGGCGCCGCGACTAAACCTGGCCAGCACCTCGTGGAAAGCCGCGCCTCGTGGAAATAGGTCACCAAGGGTCCATCTCTCCTTACCGTTCCCATCTCGCCGTCACTTTTTAGTTAGTGGCGGCAGGCATCAGAGAAAAAAAAGCACTGACCATCGGCGGACGGCCGACCCTCGCACCTCACAGACCATCACCACGGAGCCGTGGTGATTGCTTCCTCCAGCGCTCCCACCAACTCTAACCCCCTGTCGACCGACTTGCCTCCTGTGGATTGGCACAGAAGTACCAGCCAGCTGTTCAGGTTCAGCTCGTATCGGCAACCAGGGTCTTGAGTGGCCCAACGGGGCGAGAGCAACATGGCTACACTATGGGGTAGGCAAGCAAGACATTTGGAATTGCCATTGGGGCTTCTACACCCTACCTGACTCAATCACTCGATGAGGGGTTAACTCGTTCTCAATGCTCACCCTTGAAAACAATCCTGCCCTCCACTTACTGATGCGCGGTGCGGCTGTGAGCTGATCCTCGCACTTATGCGAAAGCCCAGAGTCGCAGCCCGACTGGAGATCACAGGTTAGCATGGCTGTTGAGTTGTAATAGGTACATCCGCCCATCCGTATCGTAGATAATCTCCCCGGAGATACCTAGATCTGAGTTAGAACAGGTCTAACAACCCTTGGGAACCCACGGCTGTGGGCAGGGTCACGTTTCATCGTGCTGCACCCTAACCTGTTGTTATTATAGAGGGACTAGTAATTACGATTAGAAACTGAACCAAAGGGCAATCTGGGCCCTGAGTCCCTGGCTTGGGTCTGCCCCACTCAACAGCTAGGCTATTCTGGGTAGCGGAATATCGGGACGGTGGTGTTGCGTCCGTTCAGAGAACGGCTGGGTTTTGACATGGGTTACTCCGCATTGGCATGCCATCATATGAGACCCGTTCTCCTTGGTCGGGCGGTTGACTAACAGCGGAAGGGAGCGCTTTGTTCAGCCTACTGCTAGTGCAACCCATGAGATTTGGAGCAGCCAAGTGTGTGTCAGTCAGCGCGCAGCTCCTCACGTTCAGCGACAGCCGAGCGAGGGGGGGGAAATGAAGATGAAAGGGAGAAAAAGAAACAACAGCACAGTCGCAGTTGAATCCGACAGCAGCCAGCATCTGCATGGATGCTAACGTAACACAACCCCGAATCGTCCGCCCCCCTTACACAACATGATGCCGCAACTGCGTCAGAGGCATGTTCTCTTCCTGGTCAGGTAAGGTCGCAGCAGAGGCATCTTGCTAGTGTGCTCAAATACTGCCTAGCACTGCGGGCAGAGCTGACAATGTCGTGATGTCTGCATGTTCTGGATGCAGCTAAGGGAGCCTAAAGCAGCCCGCAGTGCGTTGTGCTCCTCATTCGTCTGGAGGTTGGGTAATCTCTCTCAGCTTGTCCAGTCTTGTCCAGCCGGCCTCGGACCAAATATGGGGCGGGCGCCTACAGAGAGAAGCACAAGGCACCAGGTACGTGCAGGCCACCGAGTATCCGGTTCGGTGTGGCTGATAGCCCATGGGCCACGAGATGTCCTGCGCGTTGGAGGTGCAAATTAATGCCCGTTCGAGCAAGGACCAGGGCTCTTGCGCGCGCGTCCTTGTCTTGAAATTGGAAATCTCAACGTGGCGCGTCGTTGGATTGGAGAAACACCTCGTTGGCTGCGTGGAGAGGGAGGGGCCTGACGCTGACTAGTTCGTTCCTTTGATTTTTCTAGTGCTCTCCCACCTTAACCCTCTGCCCACCTCCATTCAACTCAATTTCAGAGCCAATGGCCGCTCGCGGAATTGCACTCCTTCCTCTGATTTTGGGCTGGTCGCCGGTGGCCTAGCAGCCTCATCAACATTCTTCAGACGGAATCACGGCCCCACTTGGCGAACGAGGCCGAAGAATATACCGAGGCATGTGTATACAAAGATCGTTCGCTCTGTTCTGATGAGATGTTAAAAAGTGAGTCCGCCAAGGCACCTCAGAGCAACGTGGACTTATCCTTTGCCAAGGCGGATGCTAAGGCATTTCCTGGCCTAGCTGGAAGAGGAGCAGGAAGAGGAGCAGGAGCTGAGAGTTGAATGGCTGGCCAGGTCGCCCCTCCTCCTGCTGTCACTGGTGGTGCTGCTTGGTGCTATCCTCTAGCCCGCCTGGGTATTCCTCCAGCTGCCTGCGAGTGTGTGTCATCATGTACATCACAGGCAGCTCAGGCACAGTTGGTATGTGACTTCTTGCCATGGTGGGTGGCATGCCTCAATGTCTCCCTGTGATGTGTCTTGCTGTTGACCCCATGTGTGCCTAATCTGTGTAGATCCCTGGCCTTATGACAAGGGGGTGGGAAGCCAAGTCTAGACCTTGGCCCATGCTGGACTCGATCAGAATTGCTACCATGATCATTGTGCTCCATGTACACCACGATATTGCCTACATCCCCAGTGTTGTGCTGTGCCGTGTCCGCACCACTCGGACTCATCTCATTCCTACAAGCTTCCCAGGAGCCTGGCTCCATGCAGCACATGGCTGGGGCAGGAGGCAGATGACAGCGTTAGTCTCGTCCAATTCCATGCGTACATGCGCACCAGTGTTACCACTGCAGTAGTCAGCGGCGTGACAGCATCATCATGGTCTGACGTCTGCTTCTCATCCGAGAGTAGAAGGCATTCTCTTTCGACAACCAATGGCTTCTAGAACGCCGAGAGGATCCCCTTGAAGATTAAATTTGGTCATTTTTAAGAATGGGTGGCAATGACCCAGCAGGATGACGAGCGTAGACGAGTGCCCAATACCTAGATGATAATCAATAGCCCTGATTTTCATTGTCCTTGGATCCACTCTACTAGGTCATAGTTGTCGGTACCGTAGGATTGATCGCGAAGACAAGGGCATGGTTGGTACTGTAAAAATGAACCTTGTCGTGAAAGGATTTGCCTCACCCATACTTTGTACAACAAAGTTGACGAAGGCGCATACTGATACCACCCAATTATTGGTCTCGAATCAATGTGATCAATATGCAGCGGAGTGATTTGCGGCCCCCAGCGGCCCCCGGTAGGCCCCAAAGTTAGGTGGCCCTCCAAGTACGAGCGCGAAGGACGTGATATCTGAGTAAAGACAGACTGCATTTGTGCTCTCAAGGACTCAAGGTCCGGCTGTCGGCGACAAGCTGGCTGCTCCTTTGATATTGGCACATGGCTGTGGCCTGATATGGGACACCCACAACATGAGCCACCCTGTTGCGTACATTAAAGGGATCCGCAATGGTATGCAGGACCAGGGGATGACGGGCTTGTCTTTTAGCCTTTCACTTGGACTGCTAGCCGGTTGGGCCTCTGGGGCGTGAGAATTCAATAGACAACGGTATGTATGGCGGACCGGAAATCTGAATCTTCAACTCCATATTACATCCTGATCGTATATCGTGCGATAAGTAGGTAGGTATTGTAGAGATTGGCACTTTGGTGTATTCTGCGAAAAAGTATATGGTCTGGGGGCCATTACTGACGATTATGGTGAGTGGTAGCTCAAGCAAGGATATCAAGTTCAAGGTACATGGTACGTACATGACCAACAGCGATATTTCTCGCATCTGGCAGTGGACAGACATGGAAACCCCACCCACTCGTGTTGGTTGGTTGGCCAGTCGGGAAAATCAAAGACGCACTGAAACTGTACATAGGAGTGTGGAATACCAGCCATGAAAGGAGGCAGTAAAGCAGGCGTACGGGAGAGCCCTCAAGGTTGTATTGAGTTGGTTGTTCGTTCTGGACGCGCGCGGGCGGAAGCCAATGAAACCGGGGGGATCAAACTTAGTGCTGAGGGGATACTACCCCGGCCTGTCGGTGGCCTTCTTTGGCGGTTGTTTTTTCCAACGATGGTTGTGTTGGGGATGGTGATGATCTGACCCTGGGCTCCAATCCGCCCAGGCAGACAGAAGGAAGGCGGGCACAAGACTGGCCGAAGAGATGTTGGCCAGCTGGCTCTGACCATGGCTCTCGTGCAGCTTGGGTCCATCCCATCCTTGGTCTGCCCCGCTTGTACCACACATCTTAACCCTCCTTGCCATATGGCCCATCCACCGGCCCAGATTTGGGCAGGGCGGGAGGGAAGGCGCTTTCGGGGTCCTCCCTGTATGTACATCCAGCTACAGGCACGGTAGTAGCACAGCAATCGACTTACATGTACTGCTAGGTAGCATTAGTACTAGCAACGGTAGCACACGTCTAGAGCTGGACGCAGGCAGTGCATCGTTGCTGCCCTGCCATGCCACGCAGGAGGTATGTAGGCAGGTGCTCCATGCCCGCACCTACCTTCTCTGCCGCATTTGAGACGATGATCGGGCCAGAGTGCAGGTTCAATGAAGCACTTGCAGCGCCGTTGTGCCGTTGTGTAGCTCCATATACTAAATAAGCAAGTGCCACCAAGTTTCCCCGCTGAAATGCAGGAACAAGCGGACTGACTGAGACGGACCTGCCTGCAATTTGCACGGGGTTGCTAGTGGCGCTACTAGGCGCAGTGCCAGCGATATCGAGAAAGCTTGCTTTGAGGCCATGAGTTGACTTCATGCTTCTGTCAGTCAACCTCAGCCTCGGTCCGCAGCCAGCCCAAGAGCGTGCAAAATGCGATCCAGAGAGACCATTTTAGCTTCATCCAGTTGGTTTGGCTGGTCTGTGCCGGAGCCGGCCCCACTCTCGACCTTATGTCTTAAAAGTTGTCTTGAAGGTTTGGACGGCAGTTTGCCTAGCATGGCAACGACTACGCCTGGCCTGGCCTAACCGCGTGTCATCTTGTTCTCTCCTCCAGCCTTTCAGCTCGTCACTTTGACCTAGCTAGATGACGTCGAGTACTCGAGTACTTTCATCCAGGCTAGACTTGTCCTCCCTGGGTATGGCATGACATGGCTTAAACCCAAGTACCGTGGTCAATCTCCTACCTCCCAGATCGACGGGGATTGCCGAAACCGCTCTGTTTCGTTTCTACTCCCCACCGTCGTTGCATCACCGGCAGCTTCTGAAGTCCAGCTCTGCGCAGGGAGGGTTTCATGCACTCCTACTGTTGACTAAGATGGGCGGATGTCACTCGTGCCGCACCCCTGGCCGATTCCTTGCTTTGGTTTGGGCAGCGATCCGCCTCGAGAGATGCGAGGATAATCAATGGCGCATATGATTTCAGGGACCTTGGAGGGCGCTTGAAGGAAGGGGGCCATCCTGCTTTCATCAACATACGCCGGGTCCATAACATATCATATTCAGCTGCTTCATCACAAGGTCACTTACAGTCTGCATTGGCACGCTGCACCGGCCTCTCTGCAACCTCAATACCCGCACCGTACCCGCCCGCCAAGAACTGCTACTGGTGCTGAAAGGCACTGACAAGGTGCCATGTAGGCTCGCCAGCGGGGTGTGGCGTGTGCTTGTGTATGCGTGTGTACGTGTATAGTGAGTGAGTGGGTGAGTGTTTTTTTAGAGCTTCCAGCCATTCACTCCCATGCGTTGTTAGTCCCTTCCACTTTTGCTCCCTTTTGGCCCCGTCCTCTATCGCATGCGACCCCAATTTTCTTCCTCCCCCACCCACCAAGGATCTCTTCAGCAGCTGTTAAGATCTTCAATATAGGCTCACATCCTGGTAGTTCCAGGAAAAGCTGCATTAGCCAACATGCCGTGCCTTGGACGTTGAATCCAGCTGAATTTGACGCCTGTCAAAGGGGTGAGGGGGGGGGGGGGCTTGAGATAGCACAAACGGTTGGGCTGGCCTTGTGTTAGACGCGAACTTCAGTTTGCGAACTCCAGTTTTGATTCAGACGGGCACGGATTAAAAAGGTTTGAAAATACTAATCGTAACAGACTACGATCTGTTTAGGTGGAGATGTTAGCCCTTTGGTCTTGCCTTAGTAGGCTGGGCTGTCCTTGATCAACTCACCCTCCCTGCCGCAATCATCAGATGGAGGATTTTCGGATCGTATCGGCGAACACCCTTCCCACTGTTTCTTACCAGCGGCTAGCATGTACCTTCTGCGTGGAGTTTCTACCCTGGCCAATTGTTGGATATTTCCATCCGACCATGTTCCTCGCCCTCCTTGGTACTCTTCTTATAAAACAGTTCAGAGTAGAGTGTTAACTCATTGATTAGGTATAATGACCATTATTATGGTCGCTCCTCCGTTCCTCCTTGAAACTTTGCTGGCTTCACTGAACCAACAGCTCTAAGGATTATTGCCCAACCTGGAGCGGCATGCAATATTTATACATGATCCTTGAACGACCTAGCCAACCACACGTGGAAGGACTGGGGGAGGGGACACCCCTCTGCAATATTACACCTGGTACAGTACTGCTATTCCTTAGGGCACAGCACTCTCATAGTATGTGCTACCAGGGTCGATTCCTTGTCAGAGCCGCAAGGGCCTCAAACATTTTCCCACTATTTGCCTGCTTCGTAGTTATCTGCAGTAGCGTCCACCGGCCCACTGCCGGTAATAGCCTGCTTACACTGGAGTGCGTGAGTCTTTCGTGACAAAACCATCAGATCACTCGAGGGCTGAGGCGCCTGGACACTCCCAGTAGATCAGTCAATCTGTGGACCTAGCTCCAGCATCCATCCTGGCAAGCTATTGCTCATTGGGAGCACGGCCCGCTGGTAGTTGAACCCCAACCGTCTCCACTAGTCTCCTGGAGTCTCACTCAGTACACGGACTTTCCACCCAATAAGCCACCAGGCCCGGCAGCGGTAGCCTTGAAGAAGAGGAGCGATTCAGTTCGTGGACAAATTCGCGCTGTGGGCTTTCGGGACTTGGCACCATAAACAAACACTGTCAGGTTTAGGTCATAAGGCTAGAGTTGGACGGCACCGGACTCAGAACCTCTAACCGTTATTCTCGAGTCTTCAACCTGGCCAGCCGGCTCTATATATCTGGCTCAGCGTTCATCGACCTACCTACACACTCTTTATGTCACAGCAACATTCACATTGGAGCCTGGAGATTGTGGGCTGCACACAGCACTCCCAGTTCCGCACGGAGCTCGTGCCTGTGGCAGACTCTTTCGGGAAGTTCTTGACAACCACACGATCTGGTTGAAAAAACAATATCATTTTCGTCGCCACTCGCTCTCGACGAAATTCTGAGTCCGACTTGGCACCGGTACCGGCTGCCTAGCCATCCATCCCCCCCGACCAGCCGTTTGACTCCCACACCTTAGGGTTCTGCATGAAGTCCAGGCTGCCAGTCTTTACCTTCTTGAAAGAATTTTCTTATTTGTTTCCGCATCGCAGGGATTGGTTGACTATCGACTTCCCCCCTGCCTTTAATTTGTTTGTTTGAGCATGCCAGCATTGTTATAATTGGCTTGGGATGGACTAGTCTGGAACTTCGTTTGAACCCAATGGTGTTTTTCATCGACTTTCCAGATTATTGACGAAAATGGGCGACTACTACCAACACTTCCTGTCCTCCATGTCAGGGGCAGGACTCCACCAAACCCAGGGTATGCAGAATATACCTCCAGGTCAGCCATATCAAGGAATGCCACTGTCTATGAGCACTTCGCCTGTGAGTGAGACTCAGAGCCCTGGATTGTTCACTGGGAACGTTTTCACAGCCGTATACGACGCATCAAAGCCGAAAAACCGCAAGAAATCTACTGGGGTGGCCCCCGCGGCGGACTCGGTTAAACACCGAAGGACGCGGTCTGGTTGCTACACATGTCGAAGCCGGCGCGTCAAGGTGAGAACTTCCCAAGTACTGATCTGGATCTCTGCTGAACTGTGTTAGTGTGACGAGAAGAGACCTATATGCGACCGTAAGTACATTGACAGTGTCGCTTTTCTTTCTCTGGCGCTGGGGAATGACCGACTAACCCATGTTAGGTTGCCAAAAAGGAAGTCGGGAATGTGTGTATCCTGATCCACCACCATCGAAGGGAAGTGGCGGGCAGCCTTCCCGAAAGAGCTCATCGGCCTCAACAACACCAGCCAGCCCCTTATCCTCAACTGGGGAAGGAGACGAAGACACGGAACCCAAGTCCAAGTTAGAGACAATCTACGACGAAGATGAATCCACTGAGCCATGGCTTCCGAGCTCTACGCAGACGATGCGGAGCCGCCAGGACTCTGAGACGCCATCACAGGACGACAACAAGAGTGTTTCTCCAGCAGCATCCAGTACTTTTCTCAGCACGCCTCTGCAGCCCGTTGATCCTTCGTTGACAAATGAGGGTCGACCTGATTGGAGCTCCCTCCCTCCTGATTTTCAATATTATCTCAGTTGGTTCGATAAAAACGTGACGTATTTCCATTACGGGGTGAACAACGACGTCGAAGATTTCTTCAAGACAACTCTTCCGGTACTGGCAGCGCAAAACGAGGCCCTTCTCAACGCGCTCGTAGGATTTGCCGCGTACCAGGCAACTTTACAAGATCCGAATGGCAAGCTGCAGGATTTTCTCAGATATTACAACAGAAGCGTGACGCTCCTCTTAACATCTTTCAGACGAAAGGAAAAGGGTAATGTTGCCCTTTTGGTGACAATTCTTCAGCTTGGGAGTATAGAGGAGTATTTGGGCGATTGGGTCAATCTCATGGGTCATCAAAAAGCTGCTTTTGAAGTTTTCTCCAGCTTGTATACGCCGCAAACTGCGATCCAAACAGCGATTGGAAGAACTTGTCTTAATTGGATTGCTAGGTTCGACATCTTTGTGGCGATTATGGGTGGATTTCCGGCAATGTTACCGCGGGAGTATCTGGAAGAGTTGGTGAATTTCTATTCAGCTCGAGTTGCCGCGGAGCCAGACGAACTGAGTTGGAAAGTGGCAGGTCGGTTGGCCGAGACTCGAAAATTTGGATGGGATATGGCGTTGCTTTACGCTCGAGGTGCCCGGGGGCAGATCTCAGCGTCAGCATTTCAACAGGAACATGAGCGACTGACCGTCGAGCTGACAGAGTGGAGAGCGAACTGGGATTCAAGTCTCACTGACCCGAAGTACCTCGTAACAGACTTCGGCAACCAACAGCCAGACCCGACCGATATTGTCAACCCGTACGAACCTGGAACCTTGTACAATTTCCCGATATTTACTACCACAGTGGCCGATACGGAATGGCATTCCATGATGATCATGCACAAGTCGCAATCGTCGAAAATCGGTTCTGAACCCCTCATGAAAAACTTGTATGAACATTCGCTCGCGCTGTGTCGAAACTACGAGACAATCGAGTTTTGGCCCCATTCTCCCAACGGGGTGATCACGCTTTTGCAGCCACATATTCAGCTTGGCGCTTTGTTTCTTCCGCAGGACTCGCGCCATCGGATGTGGGCGAGGCGGAAGTTCGCATTTTCAGAACAAATGGGGTATGCAAAAAAACATCTTGCAATTGGGATAGACCCATTTATTGTCGTCGATGATGAGTACTGACATTTCATGACTGAGTAGCCATATAATGTCATTCTCGCTAAGGCAGAAAGTAGCAAGGATTTTCCAGGAACCCTCGTGCGCGCGTTGGTGGATGCCCAATGACGAAGGTTTCACCCCTGTTCTTCAGCGTATCCGCGAGTTTGCCGATGAGAGAAATGCAGTTGCTGTGACGGCCCAGCAGGAGAGTGTCCGAGAGGTACGACATATATTCGAAAAGTTGGATATGAGCGACGACGGAAGCTCGGCTGGGAGCAGAAGAGGAAGCACTTGATGGAGACATTGGGCGACTTCTTGCATCGGGCTGTGGCTCGCCATGCCATCATTCACTTGTGTCGTCGTACTTACGCAAGGCTCTGGACAATAGCTTAAGTATTGTCGATTCACAAGCGGTTACTCGGAGCACCGTCGAAAAACCCCCCATTCTCGGAGCAAGAAGAGCTACCAACAGCCTTCGACGATAGTTTCGGAGGGGTTATGCTGACAGCTGCACATGTGTGTCTGCCGAAGAGTTGGGCTGAAGAGGATGTTCGCACCATTTGGCCGCCTACCTTGACCACGGAAGCTAGCAATTGATTTTGTCAATGCATTGGCTGGTCTGGAAATAATCAACAAACCACGGCTGTGCCGAGTTACGAGAGCTACCGGAGAGCGACGACATACCGAAGGTGGAGTTTTGGGAATGTCCCGGGAATTGAGTAATACGGCGCGGTCATGTGCAGCTTTCTGCTTGGGCTGAGCATGAGAAATGCCCAGTTGTCACCGAGAACAATAGGGTCACGTACGAAAACGGGACCTGTATATTGTATTTGGGCCTGGGCAGAAAGCCGTGACGAATTCTTCGAATCGACTGGGTGGATGTTGGGTGCGAAGTAGCACGAAAAGTCCACGATATTTGGACAGTGAATGTGTAGTAACATTGTAAAGAAAGAACCGGACAACAGAACAAACTTTCTGGTGCGGCAGGCACCGTATAGAGGCACAGAAAAAATAGCATTGTGTTTTACAGCATGTCGACTTCTTTGATAGGCTTCGGCCGCCTACCACTGTCCCTAACGATATTAAGATACCTACATACATACATCCAATATATACACCATAATTGGTTCATATCGCTTTCTACCTGCAACTACAAGAATAAAATTGACCAGCTCATCGTACAAAATAACCCCATAGCCTCCGGTAGCCCCCTGAAGGCCATGCCATCCAAACAAACGCCAACCCCTCTTATATATGTGAGCGCCGTATTAGTTGTCCTCTGTACCCGCAGTTTCTTTCGTATCGCCCCCTTCATCCTCATCTAGACTTTTCTTATTTGTCGACTCTTTTGCAGCTGCTTCTGTTTTGGCGTTGGCAGAAGCGGAAGTCTCGTCTGTTGCCCCGCTCTTCTCATCTTCGTCGGAGCTCTCATCAGTGTCGGTGTTGTTTTCGTCGCTCTTCTTCTCCTTTGCCAGACTCTCTTCTTCATCGTCAGTTGTTGACGATTCTTCTTCCTTAGCTTTGGGCTTCTCCTCCTCCTCGTCTTCGTCGTCCTCTTCTCCATCATCTTCAACAACTGTCTGATCAGCGTCAGACACGTCGTCGGAATCCGACTCATCGGGGGTAATTTCCACCACGGGCTTTTCGATTACTGAATGCTCGACCATGACGGGAACCTCGGCAACTTCCGGCTCCTCGGCCACAGTCTCAGGGGCTAAGATGTGGAGGTCCTTCGCTTTGCGTGCCATCTTGTCCGTCTCCTCCTCGTCGGCCTCGATGACGGTGGTCACCGCGCTCCCCGTAGACGGGCTACTTCTAATATGCCGTCGGGTGTTCGTGCGCCCGGCGTGGTGGGAGCTGTCCTCGTCAGCCCCGTTGCCCCGCGGCTGGGCCGTGGGCTTGAGGATGTGCTGGACCATCTTCTCCGGCTCGGGCTCGCTGGGGGGCGTCTCCAGGCCCTCGGCTTCGGGCGGCAGCTTGTAGTTCTCCGCGGGGAGCAGGTCGTAGAGGTCGCAGACCGTCTTGAAGAAGACGTACAGCCCCGTCTCGCCCTCCACCGACCAGAAGACGCTGCGGTGCTGGAACCAGGCGTGGGCGAAGATGCGGTGGAGCCTCCTGAAGACGTTGACGAGGTTCTTGACGCCGACGTTCTTGCTGTGCGCGTCGCTGAGGACGACGAAGCGGCTCGGGAAGAGCTTCTGGTCTGTCACGACGTTGGCGGCCCAGTCCAGGGTGTGGCAGCAGTAGTCGATTGCGCAGCAGCTCTTGGGCTGCTCGTGGACGGCGCAGAGGAATTGCCACTCGGAGGCTCGCATCTCAGGGCAGGTGTGGGCGCTGCATGGAGGGGCGTCAAAGAGGAAGCCGATGATTAGGGAGTTACACTGGGATATGAGAAATCGGCAGAGTTCGTAGAGCCAGAGTGTCTTGTCAATCCCTTGTGGGGGCTGGGCGAGTTGGAGGGCAGTTTCGCGGTTGATCGGCTTGGTTCCTTCTGCAGTGTGGTGATAGTGCAACGCGGCCAGGTGTTCTTGAAGCTGAAATGCAGAGTCGAGCTGTAGGTTGGCTTGTTAGCGTTTCTGATCGCACGGAACGGGGAATTTTCAGGGCAATGATTGCAACGGACTTCTTGTAGAGGTATCAAGGGCGGGCCAGCAGCCATATCGGCCGCTTTTGTGCCTGGGTGTATGCGCCGCTTAGAGCTGGCATCGAGCAGGGACTGTTCCAACGGCGTTGAGTGGAGGCTTGCGGCTGGGCCGCCCGAGGGTGAGTTGGGCGCCATCTGGATCTCAGCGGGCGGGGGAGGGCTGGGAAGCCGCGGCGAGCTTGGTGCGAGAGCCATGGCTGTGGTGTTGGGAGCGACGTGGTGTGATGGCAGAGATCTATTTTGGTGCTTGGTAGCAGCGTGACGGAGACGTGCATGAAGTCGGCGGTACTGGATACATGCATACGGGTGCTAAGCTTGATAAGTGCATATATCCACTACCTTGGATGGAGGGGCAGCAGGCATGACGAAAAAAACGTACCCAGCTGCGCAAGGAAAGCCGTCATTATCCCAGAAGTTGTCGCAGGCGATTGATTAAATTTATTTCTGGCGTGGAAACAAAAGAAATTCATTCATCTCAGCCGGATTTTTTTTCTCGTCTCCATTCCGAGCGTTGATTAACCGTTGTATGCGGCGCCATGGATCTTGACGACGATGCCCCTCCAGAGCTCATTGACACCACCACTGGGGTGGCAGACGATGTCATAGATGACTTGGATGCCTCAATCAAAGTGCCCATCACCATTGTAACAGGTACGCTCGCGAGGTCTACTATCGGAAAGACATCGAAATTTTTTAACTAAATGAATAGGTTATCTTGGGGCTGGAAAGACAACCTTGCTGAATTACATTCTCACGGCCCAACATGGAAAGAAGATTGCTGTGATCATGAATGGTATGCACCCTATCCACTGACGCATTTGAGTAAACAGCTAACGATTTTTTTTCTTTTCTTAGAATTTGGAGATTGTAAGTGTCATTAAATTAACCGAGAAGTGTTAGGAAAGCATTTTTCATTTTGTTCGCCAGGTTCTGATTTATCTAGCACTGGATATTGAAAAGTCCCTTACGGTGAACAAGGGTGGGGAGCAGGTTGAGGAGTGGCTCGAGGTTGGGAACGGATGCATATGTTGCTCCGTCAAGTAAGTCATCGATTGCCAAGCCTGTGGGGATTTGAGTCTAATTCGAACAGGGATACTGGAGTAAACGCCATCGAGTCCCTCATGAGCAAGAAAGGAGCTTTCGACTACATTCTATTGGAAACAACTGGTCTTGCAGATCCCGGGAATATCGCACCGCTATTCTGGGTCGACGAGGGCTTGGGAAGCTCTATTTACCTAGATGGCATTGTGACTTTGGTGGACGCAAAGAACATTTTGCACAGCCTTGAGGACCCTAGTGGTAAGCTAGAAGGTCATGATGATGACCATGGTCCGCTTATGACGACGGCTCATGTCCAGATCTCACATGCGGATGTGGTTGTGATTAACAAATCCGATCTTGTGAGCGAGGCCGAGCTCAATTTGGTCAAGTCAAGGATCGAGTCAATTAATGGGCTGGCAAGGTTGCATGTCACGGAGAAGAGTATTGTGCCGAAGCTGGAAGGCTTCCTCCTCGACCTGCATGCGTATGACCAGCTCAACGAGGTTGACTTTACCAAGAAAGGCCACAGTCATCTTGACCCAGTAAGTGGAAGCCGCAGATTGAGTAGAGAAGGACCACGGCTGATTCTGGCAGACAATATCAACCATCTCAATCCCTGTCGGAATTCTTCGGCCTGACCAGCTGGACCAAGTTGATGCCTGGTTGAGGTCAGTATTGTGGGAACATCAGCTTCCGGGTGTTGAAGGGGCGCCGGAATTCGAAATCCATCGCTCCAAAGGGCGCCTGGTGTTCAACAACGGCGAGGTGAAAATGCTACAGGGCGTTCGGGAAATTTTCGAGCTGTTAGATAGAGATCAAGAGGAAGAAAATCCGGGTCAAGGCAAGATTATCTTGATCGGGAGACAGGTATCAGAAGTCGGATTTGAAGAAAGCTTCAAGCGAAGCGTCAAATAGAAAGTACGACTTGATGAAAGATAAAATACAATTGAGTGCTGCCCGTCAGCCGGTCCATGAAGGTTCATCTAAGGTTGGTCGATAAATAAGCCCCATGTCCCTCGTGCTAGGTCTTCTCCAGAATTCTTGGCCGCCATTGACGCGGGATCCCTGCCTGTGATTGGCCAGGCGTGGCGCCGTCGGCGCGGCTGCATTTGTGTCCGACAAGCGATTCCTCCACCACGAACCGCCTAAACCTTACGTACATATCACAATCTCCTACGGACGGTCGCACAGACAACAACGCATTTGCCAGTGCTTGGTGGCTTCGAGATACAAAGTACCACCCGTCGAGTCGATCGCGCACCTTCTAGCTGCATTTTACATCCCCCGCTACGTTTCTAAGCGAAAAGAACCAAACATTTTACACGGCCCGCTGCGAACTCAGCGAACCATGAATCGGCCAGGTAGGGCATACCCATACATCCCTCCCCGCTTCCAGCAACCTTCATGACCCAATATGCCTGCCACCTGGAGATGGACTCGAGTGCATTCGAGCTTCGAAACGCCACGTCGTCATTGGCGAAACCAGCTGCCTACAATCAACATGCTTGCGGAGCCCTCAGCCTTGCCTCTTCAGCCCTTGCACCAAGAGCTGTATGCAGAACCCACACGCGGCCCTCGCTAGCACATAGCCTATAGCAACGCATTCGAAGCGGAGCGACAGAGTGTTTCGAAACGTTAAGGCGGTGCCGCCTTTAGTTTGGACACGGGACTGAACTCCCATACGAGCTCGAAGCGACGCAACCATGAAGACCACAATAGGTGCTGACGAGATGAATACTCCAGGACCAGTCCCGCAACCGATGCGGGGGATTCCAGGTGGCTATGGCGGTCAGCAACAACCTCAGCAATCAGGAAGATCTGTGCCCAATCGTCTGCCAAATGGAAAGATAGGTGAGGCATGCTTTGTACTTTGATCTAGTCACAACATGCCAAGCTCTGAAAGTTCACTGGAAGACCATCTGGAAGCTTATTGGATCATGGATTTCCTGCAAAGAAGAATAAAAGACATGGGCTGACACTGGTGTTGAAATAGCAAGCAATAATTCAGGATGGGCATTCGGTGGCGGGGTGCCGATGGGAGGAGTTGGCCTCCAGAATCCCACGCGTCAAATGGGCGGAAACGTCAGCTTCGCACAGAGCTTGAGCGGATCTCAATCGACAGCACCATTGGATTTGTCGTACGTTTGTACCCCCCCGGAGGAGTTCTGTGTTTTTCCATGTCCTTTGCCACGCTACGGCGTGCTCAGGCGCGGCTGGGCCTGCTGACCCTCCGTAGCCATGTGCAATTGGCTGTCAGATGTCGCACTTGGACACATTCTTACATATGTCGTATCGTGCTATGCTCTAGCAATACTGACTGCGTCTAATTAGGGAATTCCCGTCACTGTCGAATAATGCTCAATTGCCATCTGCTAACCAAGGATCTATGTGGTCGAGTGCTGGAAGTCGAAATCTGAGCGGTCCCGTCCAAAGAAGCCAGGCTACGCCAATCCAATCACAAACCGGGCAGGAGGATCTCTTCAACCCCTCAACGTCTCGGATGACGTCAACGCATGGTTCCTTCCGCTTCGGTAGCCAAGGAAACCCATCGAGTACAAGCCAAGCTCAGTCGAACAGTGCAGATGATTTCCCCCCGTTGAATCGAAGCGGGAATGGAGATCTCGCGCCTGGCTCGCTTGGTTTTGGATCCCCGAATGGCGCGTCAGCGGGGCCACCACAAACCACTCGGGGAAATGGACTTCTGAATGCCCTCTCTGCTAACAGCCGGTCGAGCGGTGTGCGGTCGCCTCCTGGAGGTGAGAAAACGGCCATTTTCACTGCATACTATGATTTTTTCTCAACTAAACACCCGTTTATTAGGCCTTACGCGGTCCCAGCATGCGTTCCGTGAGGACAGCCTGGATAAGAACCTGCAAACAGCTGTTTCGCTGAGAACCAAAGAAGGCGAAGTTGCAAACTCTAAATCAAAGGAGGACAAAGAAAACCAGGCCCCAGAGGCTGTTGATCCCCTTGAAGGGATGCCTCAAGCTGACAAGTGGGGGGTGAAGGGCCTAAGAACGTTGATGAATAACTATCCCGACTATCACACTATGGTCGTAGGCATTGATCCTGGAACCTTGGGTGTGGACATCACCTCTCCAGAGTATGTTTTACCTCGCTACGCCCTCTTTATGCCTCGTGACTTGCTTACAATAAGATAGCCTCATCTCCAACCAACATTACTCTCTATTCGATGATACGCCACCTCGCCCTACCGTGAGTGGTAGCAAATTTCGATTACCTGACTGCTACAACGTCACCAACGTGCAACCTATTGAAACCAAAATCGGAAGTTTCAATGAAGAAACTCTATTTTGGATCTTCTACAGTTGTCCCAATGATATCAAGCAACATCTGGCTGCTTCTGAATTGTAAGTCTATCCGTCTCGCTCAAGGGTTCCTCCGTGCTCACCATTTCTAGACATACTCGTAACTGGAGGTGGCACAAGAAGCACCAAGTGTGGCTTACCAAAGACGAGCATATGACTCCTCAAATCCTGAGCCCGACGCACGAGAGAGGCTACTACATCGTCTGGGATACGGCTACCTGGAGGAAGGATAGAGTAAGCTCAACTCTTGTTTTCCTGTTCGATGCCTGGCTGGCAGTACCAAGTTGAGGTAACTGACGAAAATATTCACAGCGAGAGTTCACCCTGTATTACAATGACCTGGACACGTCGCTGAGTCAACCACCGGTATTGTCCTAAGGGTGTATTTTGGAGATCGTAAGCATGGGTTTATCTTGGAATTAGGCTATGATTGTTGCTTTTTGACTCTCGTACCTACGGGAGTGGGAGGATTAATCTTTGTTGTGAGGCGTTCTGGCCATTTTGGGGTTACGGACCGGTTTCTTCTAGCATGAGCACCAACTAGGGAATGGGTTCACAGAGGCTCCAGGGAAAGGGACACAATGGCTACATGGAACAGATACATTTGTGGCCGCCCTGCAAATGGACGAGGCGCATCAAATCAAATGAATGCGTGATGTTTTATTCTCAAAACTTTGGATGCGTGCCTGCTGTGTATTAACTGGACTGTCATCGTTAACGACGGCGTTCTGATGTCTAAGTTAGGTGTCTCTCAAAGTGAGCTATGGCGGGAACGCACTCACGAAATCTTCTAGCTCGGGCGGAGATAGCGACATAGAAAGAGGC